CTGCAGGAGAAGGACCCATTTCTCAGAAATTACAGTCAGCGGCATTAGTCCCTGGGTAGGGCGTTACCATACCCGGGGTGATTTAGGGACAGTGAAAGCCCTGTGCCATCCAGCCAGGCCGTTCTTCCAACGCAAACCATCCTGCAACTCAATCTTCACTGAAATTCAGTGCCGTTTCAGGGCCCAGCTGATGGGAGAAGTACACTGTCCCTTTTTCCAAACAGAACCGAGCTCCGACCGCAGGATGGAAAACGCTGCAGGAGGGAGTTATCCTGAAACCCAAACCCGTTCATCCGAGGCACCGCACTGCGAGCAGGGAGTTTTGTCATATTGGAATCCTCACGACACCACCCAGTTGACACGTTCTCACGGTTTTTAAGCCTGATCCACCTTCACTTGAAAGTAAAGCCAGGGTTGGGGTAGAGGTGGGTCCGTAGGATCGCGGTACGCGACCCACCGGCCTGCAACCGGCTCACATTAACTTCTGCTCAGGCTTAATCATCACGTAGTACAGGTTTTGGGAATCCGGAGGCTTTGCTCTACCATTTCTCACTGACCTAAATGTTTGTAAGGCCCCGGCAAAACTGTGAAGCGTTAGGAAAACCAAGAATCATCCACAGGCCCCACTGGAAGCCTGCCAAGGGCTTCAGCGCCGCGAAGAACCCGTTGCAATCTTACCTATTAAAAGCAGATAAACGGTAAGAGCAGTTTGGGTCTTTCCCAAACAATTTGTGCTGAAATTCATAAACTGAGGAAAAATTTAGTGGCGCGGCCACTAATTTTACATGGATTTAAACCACGAGGGTACGCAACTAATTCTTCAAGGCCTGCTAAGGAACTGTTTGTCTGAGCCCAAGAACGCAACCGAGCTCCAACAGCCTCCACGCCCCGGACTTGTGTATTTCCCTAAAGTCAGTGCAATCCATGGGCTTTCCTAACCATCAGCTGCGAGAGGGAACGTTGTCGTGCGTTCCCAGGGTGGGGCAAGTTTAACGCCCAAATCCTCAGCCTGATTTAAAATAGGACACGCTCTGTCTTTTAGGTGGGGAAGTGACCGCAGGTCCCTGCACAGCGCCCGTCGCCTTCCACAGGGGTCACCGGGCAACGTCTCCCGTCAGCTTTGTTTCCATCGCACACTCGTGGCCTCCAAGTTTCGCCAGCTCCAAGAGGACAGGACGCATGCAAAAGCAACGCCTGGCAAGCCGGCTTTAGATGCACCCGGCAGCAGTCAGATTCCCGGTGGAGACACAGCGACAATTTTCCACGTAAAATGATTACGATTTAACAGAAAAACTTAAGTTTTAGCTCCAGGCGTTCTGGCAGCGGGAGATGCAGATTTGTGGCTACCCTAACCACTAAACATGCACGGATAGCAGCACGGGGTTGCCTGCTCTTTAGCTTTTAATTTACCAAACTAATTAGCTGGATTTACTGTCTTTAGCATCCCTCACCCTCTATTTGCTTAAGGAGAAATAGATGAGCCCTGCGTGTCAAGGCAAGCCCAAGAGGCCGTAACTCCAGCGTGAGGGCACGGCCAGTGGGAAAACACCTTGGATGTAGCAAGAGGTTTCAAATCTTGCAGCACGGAACACACGCGTGGCTTGAGGGAGAGAGACGGGCGGGACAGACGCGTAGCCAAGGCACGGGTCACCTAGGGAAGTTAAACCTTCTCCAGCAACTTCTACACGTGTGGAGGAGAGGGGATGTTACCATCAGCGAAATTCCAGATCGCCACAACGGAAAACAGGTCTGTAGCAAAAATGAAAGCGTTGAGACTTCTCAAAAGCGTGTCAGGGTATCAGCGTGGAGTAACGTGGGGCAAAGACCTCGAGGCAGCTGCGTCGGCACATCCGAGACGCCCTAAGTTTTGGAATTTGGTTAGGAGCGAGAGCACGGCTGAGCAGCTACAAGGTTAGGTGGCAGTTAGCACACCAAAGAATCAATTTTCCTGCCCAGCTGGAGAAAATGCCCTGGACAGCAGCGCCCAGGACAGCACCGCAGTTTTGGACTTCCAGGTATTGAAAAGATGAATAATGAAGCAGTTAAGTTCATCAACAAAAAGAAACCCTGGGATCACGCTCGATCCGCTGCACTTTATTCACGACTGGGGGATGGAGAGACCTTCTGACCACAGAGACATTCACGGAGTGTTGAGCGGACTGCCCGGCCAGCAACACCCAGCTCTCTTGGAACTGCTCATTCTGCCAACAACCCCGGGGCAAGGCAGACCAGTTCGGAATTTCTCACTTTAAAACATGTAATTATTACTTTAAGGTAATGCTAATGACATTATTATTGGGTGAAATCCCAATTTCACCAGCCAGAGAGCGCTTACAGCATCGCCCAAGTTGCGACCGAGCCTCAGAGCATTCCACAGCCTCATCTCCCCCTGGGAAATCCAGGAGTTCAAACCTGCCCTCTCGTGCGGGCATTTCCAACTTGCTCCCTGCAAGAGCCTCTTCCGCAGGACACGGCAGAGCAGACCAGAGCAATGTCGCGGGACTACAACAGCCTCTTTCTGGTAAACCCTCGACTCGCTTTCTGCTTTGCCCTGTCACCTCAACCCCACGCAGGGACAACCCGGGGCTTCCCACGAGCTGCGCCTCCTACAGAGTGCCCTGGCTAGCGAGCTGCCTCCTCTCCGTTCCCCCCGCAGCATCCCACCACAGCGTTGCTCAAGCGAGCTGTGTTTTGGGCAGCTGTTTCTAAGCTGCTGCTTCTGGATGAGCCACAGGCGAGATTCTTAAATGTTACTTTTCCTACACTTGCTAAGGCAAACGTGAAGATGTACCAGCCATGGGAACGCAAAAAGGAAAAGCGGTTCATAGGGGTGCATTCCTAACTGGCGGTTTCCCATACACCCAGCCATTCCAGAATACTCCCAGCACTTCACACACCGAGAACTTCGTGATGCGACGCTCTGCCCTGCTCATTTTCGCTGCATTCCCTCTGAAAACAGGTCAGCTTGCAGCAGGTTCACTGAACTCAATCCAAAACGGACAGTGAAATCTCAAGAAAGGCCAAGCAAAGATGGAAGAACTACTCCATCCGAGAGAGCTACCAAAGGAGACATTCTTTCGCTGCATTCCCTCTGAAAACAGCTCAGGTTGCAGCAGGTTCACTGAACTTAACCCACAACAGACACTGAAATCCCAGGAAAGGCCAAGCAAAGATGGAAAAAACTACTCCATCCGAGAAAGCTACCAAAGGAGACATTCCCATGTTAGAATCACAGACTGGTTTGAGTTGGAAGGGACCTTAAAGACCATCCATTTCCAACTCCCCTGCCATGGGCAGGGACACCTTCCACTAGACCAGGTTGCTCCAAGCCTCATCCAGCCTGGCCTTGAAGACATCCAGGGATGGGGCATCCACAGCTTCTCTGGGCAACCTGTCCCAGTGCCTCCCCACCCTCTCCGGGAAGACTTCCTTCCTGATATCCAATCTAAACCTCCCCACTTTCAATTTAAACCCATTACCCCTCGTCCTGTCACTACAGACCCTTGTAAAAAGTCCCCCCCCAGCTTACACGTAGCCCCCCCCGGCACTGGAAGGCTGTCAGGGCTTTGGTTTGGCTCCGCTCTGGAACACAGGTCTAGCAACTATAAAAACGGTGCGTTTTCACTCAACGCGTCTCGTTTCCTGCTTAGCCACTACCACGGCGCAGTCCGGATTCCATTTGCAGAACCAACGCTATTCAAGCGTGGAAATGTAACGCACAATCAGTTTTATGGAGCTACTTCTGGTTTCACTCCCAAGAAAAGCTTGCCGAAATCTCTTTTTCTCCGCAGCGACTCCAAGGTTGCTGCGTTCTTCCCCTTTCTGCACACTATTGAAACAGTAACGAAGATAATTTACCTCAGCAGATTCACTTAAAGGCTCCACGCTGGGCTTCCACGTAAGCTTCAAAACATCCTGCAGCCATCTAGCTTTTGGGTAAGGAAAGCTCGCTTTTCACTGGTGAATTAAGACTGAATTATCAGAATTCAGAGGCTTAAAAAGCAGATTCTTGGCTATTGGCAAAACATCACCTAAACACAAACAACAACTATTCCAGCGTTAACCACGCTGGAGGTGAAATAAAGGCAAGAGGAATTGGAAAGGCGTTAAGAACAGTCCAAGCCAAACCGTATCCAGCTTTATTAAAGGTACTTTTCATAAACAATCATGGTAATTTAGGCAGGACATGGGCTACAATCGGCAACATTTTACAACAACTGTCAAACTCCCTTCCCTTCATGGACTACCCAAACGTAAAAGTCGCTATAAAACTGAAGCATCTTCATTTCATACTCGTGGAGGGAAAAGTTTAGAGTGAGGGTGGACACTTTCACATTTAGCGTGTTGTTTGACAACTCTTCACAAACCTACCCTGACTTTTAGAGGGGAAAACACAATGGAAAACGCAGGTTTCCTTATCTGAAGATCCACAATAGGAAAGTACAGCTCCTTTCAGAGCCATCATATCCCAAATTGGAGACAAGTCCGGGTCACCTGACAATGTGTTTAGAGTGGTTAAGTCCCAAAATGCCAGTTTTGCCATGTTTTGGAGTGCCAGGCTGTAGGCAAACAACGAGGACGAGAAAGGAAATAGAGAGGGGCGTTACAAACTGCAGTTTTGATGTTGGCAAACATCAAAAGGCATCTTGGGAGCTCCGATGTTCACTCGGATGCACTTCCCAGAGCTTAACAGACGTGCAGCATGAAGGAATCCCTTCCTCCTCTATTAAGGAAGAGCCCTTCTTCCAAAAACTGGGGGATCACGAAAGCTTTTCGTATTAAAATTTAGATTCCAAGAAATAGACTAAGTGATATTTGTCCCCATTGCCCCCCCACCCCACCCCCCACCCCCCAACACAACAACGAAGCGGTCTGTGTGCTAACAACATAGCTTAAAAAAAAGTAAACCAAAATTCTGCATTGTTATAAAACTTGATAAAAAATAGTATTTCAAACTGTACAGTCACCAGAAGTACACAGTTATCAAAAATTCACACGTTTTACTTGGCTTCACCGGCACCTTCGGCTTTCTGTGCCTGAAAGAAAAAGGGGAACCGGTCAATATACACCCCGCACTCGCACCACCCGACGGATCGCTCAGTTGTCTATACAGCGATTCTCCGAACAGCATCAGGGCTGCACTGCTGTCGTTTCCAGTGGAAGGAAATCTAACCTTCCAGGTGCTCTAAAAGACAACCTGAAGCCACTTTATCCAACTCTGTGCGTTTTCTAAACAGTAACTTTCACGTGGCAGCTTTGATGGCGAACAGACAACCTTTAACTCTTCACCAACCAAGCAACACCCCCCCCATCCATTGATGTGTTGTTACCGTCGCAAGCAACAAGTCTAACTAATCAACCTCTAATTCCCCTTCGTTAGCGCAAGCCTAGACCTGCCTATGTTTGATATGGAAGAAGAACTCGCTGACGTTAACACGAGCTGCCAGACCCGCGGTTATACCTGGTCTGTTTTGGCATCTCCGTTTTCTGCGGGGTTGTTTCCCTCCTTGCCAGCATCAGCTTTCCCCTTCTTCCCCTTGGGCACCTTCTCGCTCTTCTGCGAATACAAGATGACGTACACCACTACAATTACCAACATCCACTCATTAAGCCACAAGAATCCAAAAAACTCCTAGAAGGGTAAAGCCCAGCACTGGACGCTGGCCTGGAAAGAAGGCAGCGCGCAACATTTGCATCTTTAGGAGACTCAAAACAACTGTAAAGAGTTTTCACTTTTATAAAATCCCAAGGTTTTCAGCGGCACCTCACAGAAGTGACGTCGCAGCTCAATTTCATCCCAACGTACGCTGTTACTCCAAGTTTTATTAGTTGTGACCGGACAAATCTCAACCTCGTAACCCGTTTACCTCTCAGTAACAGCACCGACACCACGACTTACCTTTGGAGCTGCCTTTTTAGGTTTAGGCTCTGGCTTCGGAGGAGCAGGCTTCTGTAAATCAGAAATACACCCCGTGTGTTATTCAAATTATTTAAGGAGAACCATACCACTTCTTTTACAACATTCAACCCAACTAGCTTAAGTTTTAGGAAAGCAAATCAAAACAACTCGAAACCGAAGCACTTACTCGATTTGTCAATTATTTTACCCCTCCCATAGCAGCACACAATGGGGCGGTTCGTTAAGCCACTAATTTTCTTTCAGCTGAACAATGCGTCTCTCCAGAACAGCTACAGTTCTCGCAGAGAAGCGGTACCTAACGCTCCAGCCTGGAACGCCTACGTTTCCCGACACCTCTGCTCAGCAAGGGAATACTCACGGCAGATAACCTCGCCGATCTCCGCTGTGGCTATTTAAAAAGAAAGATGGTGGAATTTAGTGTAAGGGAATATTTTAGGTGGTTTTGATAGTTTATAACTCTTGTTTCAAAGGCATAAAATCCCTGAACTATGTGTTTTAAGTGTTTAGTTCGTGTTTTCCCCTGTTCTCAAGAAACGTTCCGACTACCCCATTCAAACCACTAAGGGCCAACAGTAGTCAAGTAGGTTTTTATCATCTTTAGGGTTAAAAGGCAGTTAATGCTTTGAAAAGTCACAATCAATTAAGGCCAACCCTCCCCTCCCACCTCCCAGTTCTTTATTTTCATGGAGTTAAGCCTCGTCTTCCAACGTCAACACTTTATGATCCAACTTTCTCAAAATGTTGAACTTCTTACCTCATCCTTAACTTTGGCCTTATCGCCCTTGGTATCTCCTTCAGCCTAGGGCGCCAAACAGTATCGACAAGTTAAGGGGAGGCGGGCTC